TGATACTTCAGCCCGTTTCCCTGAAACTACTTCTGTTTTTCTGTTTCCCCTGATGTTTTCCCTCCCTGACAGGAGACCGGATCAGAACATCACATTACAGTGTCAGTGGAAGGAGCTCGGTCCAAACTGACCGCTGCGTGACTGAGGCACACCTTGCAACAGAGGAGACGTACAACTGATGATAATCTTTAAAAATAAAACAATCTGCAGCTTCATTCAGAAGATCAGAAGAAAATAAATGCACAACGAAGCATCACAAGTCAGTCCTCCACATGGAAATCAGCTTGAATCATCCCGCTTGTGACAACAATGCATTTGGCTCCGAAGGTGTTGCTCTAAATCTAAAAATTAACTCTGATTATGTCACATTGATGTCATCGCAGTTATCTCACCACCAGCTTCACACTCACAGCGTTTTAATCTGGAATTGTCAGATTTTCGGTGGGAGACGGAGGCAGCTGCTGTCGAACGTTACGAAAAATGAAGAATCAAGTATTTGTGGTGTTTCTGGAGTTTTGTGCTTCAGCTGATTTTTTTGTCTTCAACCGTTTCTTTTTTAGTGACTCATGTGTTCCCAGAACTGACTGATTGCAATACAAATACAGAGAAAGCTTTTATAAACACTTTTAAATAAACCACCTTTTATAGGGGCAAGTTGCTCAGAACTCTGAGTTTAGTAATTACCAGATTACTTGAGGTATCTTACCTGCTGGGGTTGTTTTGTTGTGAAGCCTCGCTGCAAAACACTGAAACTACATTTTAATTTAAAAAAAGGTCACATAAATTTGACTTTACACGCCTGTTTAGATGTCTTTTATGATTTTTCGCACAATRACAGTTTATGTTTAATGATATTTTTGCAGAATGCCCAATTTAATAAACATATCATTTAATCCTGCAACTTTTTTAGGGTAAATATTGCATCAAAACGTAGATGTTTAGTTATCTTTAATTATCTTTCAGCCTTTCACTGCTGTAGGATTTAGTTTTCTCTAAAATTGCCCCACATTAAAGCTTCAAGAGATTTTTTTTCCAATTATCAAATCAAAATGTTTTTAAACTCATATCTCCTTCATAAAACYTTATAAAATCATAAAACATAACACGTGGGCTCATTACAGTCTTCTGCTGCTCAACTCAAGTTTTAAGATGTGACTTTTGGCTCGGCGGCTGCCTGTTTGAGCCTTATTGGCACCTTTCTAATAGGTTTATTTTAGTTCAGGTTTTAATTTTRGATTTTAATCTAGTAAATTAAAAACACTTGAGCATTTGAAGACAGAGATCAATGAACAACTTGAGAAAATACAAATGAGTCCGAGGTTGTTACAGTAAAGAAGTCTTTTAAACAGTTCAGATACCTGAGAGAGCAGTCATGAGATGATGACCCTTGATGCTGTGCCAAGAAACCAAACTCTACACTTTTTCCCACCATATCGATGGTTAACGTGTCCTACAAGTAAATAATATAAATTAAAACCAAGTGTGTTTGTTTTCCTGCAGCTGAAAATAGTAAAAAAAATACATAAACCATGGCGATARCCTCAGAAAAGCTGATTATGTATTTGTACGTGTTTATGTTCCAAATTGTTGCAGATTAAAGCYTTTTGTTTACATTGAYAGCATACCTGCATTTCAAAATCACACCCCGATATATTAGTAAGCTTTTTCAATGCTTCGTTTGTTATCCCACCGTTTTATTTTACACTTTATTTTACTTAAACTCAACAGGTAAACTCAGGTTTGGTCTGGTTTTTATTGTTTTTCAGGGTTTAGTTTAGTCTGATGCCATCACCTCCCATCTCCTCCCTGCCAGCTGGGTGGAGGAGGACAGCCCCACACCTCCTCCTCCTACATCTCTGTCAGGAGCTGGATGAGCGCCAGCGGGATTGGCTTCCTGCTCCTGTCAGGGAGGAACTCCCTAATATGGCGCGGCCCGGCTCGGTTTGGATCGCGTGAGTCAGCACCCTACTATATATCCTGGGTCCGGTGGAACAGCTGTCTCAGATTTTTTAAAGTGCCTCAAAACAAAGCTGGACTTGGGGTCACTTTAAACCTCCCGAAGCTGTGTGGATTTTTTAAAATTATATTAAAACAATTTAAAAAGAGCGCGAGGATTCTGTCTGGATGGTTTTTTTGTTTACCTGGACTGTCTCCCTCACACCGAGAAAGTCTGGTCTTGTTTATGGTCTCTGTTACCGGCATCAGCGTCATCCCGTGACAGGACTGGGGGCGTGGCGCGCAGGCGGAAGCAGCCAATCGGCGCGCGGCTTCAGGCGCGTCCTGACAGATGTTTTAAAAGGGAGCGGAGCTCCGCCACTGCTGCTAATAAGGAAACTGAGTCACAGGAGAGGAGACTGGCCACGAGAGGAATGAAAACACCTGAGTTAATCTCTGGACTCCGCTTTGAATCCGACTAAAGGTACAAATCCACGACTTGGTACAGTACAGTTCCACTATTTTGGAAGTTTTGCTGTTTTTTCATAGCTGTAGTAATCCAGCGGGACTTTGCGCTGGAGATTGGCTCCTTCGGGACACTGAGGGGCGTCTCGGTGTCTTCGCGGCGCACTCTTGTATTTGACTGTGATTTGAATTATGTCCACAATAATGGAACAGCCTTTTTATGACGACTCGTTTCTCTCTGCTTATGGCCATCCAGGCGCAGCGCTGCCGGACTACAAGCTGCTAAAGCAGAATATGAACTTGAACTTCTCCGATTCATATCGGAACCCGAACTTCAAGAGCCAGCACCTGCGCGCGGACGCAGATTTCTACCCGGCGGGGTCCGCCGCGGACGTGGGCTCGCTGAAGCTCGCCTCCCCTGAGCTCGAGCGGCTGATCATCCAGAACAGCAACGGGGTCATCACCACGACGCCCACACCTGCGCAGTACCTGTACAGCCGCGGGATCACCGAGGAGCAGGAGTGCTTCGCGGAAGGCTTCGTTAAAGCTTTGGACGATCTGCACAAGATGAACCAGATGGCGCCTCCGAACGTCTCCATCGGCGCCGCCGGGGTGGCCTGCCCGCCCCCGGGCTCCGTGTACGGCCCGTCCGTGCAGCCAGAACCGCTGGAGTACACCACTCTGAGCAGCTGCACCTCGAACCCGAGCCTGAGCTCAGCGGCCAGCTACCCGTCCACCACCATCAGCTACCTGCCCCACCACCAGTACCACCAGCATCCCCAAGCCGTTGCGCACGGCTCCCATCACTTCCAGCACCCCCTGGCCGGAGCCGGGCTCCACTCGCAGCGGTTCGGGGGGCTGAAAGAGGAGCCTCAGACTGTGCCCGACATGCAGAGCAGCGACAACAGCACCCCGCCCATGTCCCCGATCGACCTGGAGAACCAGGAGCGCATCAAGGCGGAGCGCAAGCGGCTGCGGAACCGGCTGGCGGCCTCCAAGTGTCGGAGGCGCAAGCTGGAGCGCATCGCGCGTCTGGAGGACAAGGTGAAGGTTCTGAAAACCGACAACGCCGGGCTGTCGAACACGGCCACCCTGCTGCGGGAACAGGTGGCACAGCTCAAACAGAAAGTCATGACGCACGTGAGCAGTGGCTGCCAGCTCATGTTAGCGCCCAAAGTCAAGTCTTACTGAAGAGATGATGCACTTTTTTTTTTTTTTTTTTTACAAAAACACAAACACTGGACCTGAACTGGACTGCAATCACAAACCGGTCTTTATAGGCTGAACTGAGTCAGAACCCGAACAGCCAGCACAACAACCCAAAAAGACTAAAACACTTGGAGACATTTTTGAAGTTTTTAAAAGTGTCGTCGTGGCTTTGCCTGTTTACATTTTATTTGTTGCCATTTGTGCTTTTATGTAAGTTATTTCTGTTTAATGAGCCTGTTTTTTTGTTACTTGTACAGTAAATATTTAAGTAAATGAAATTAAAAGTGGTTTCTTAAAAAGAAAAGTGGTTTTGGGGATTCTGGTTGTAATTCTTGTAAACATGACCACACTGTTTCTGATCAGTTTTACACCAAAAGTTTGAAAAAAAAAAAAAAAACGTCCCAGCGTAGGTTTTTTTCCCCCCACCTAAGACGTACGTGACGTCAGCCCATATATGGTAAATGTTGCCGGTAGACGTCACGCCGTGAGCAGATTTCCGGGAACTCRCTCCTACACTGCCGGTCAGAGGAGCAGTGCGCGCTCCCCTTTCACACCAGGAGGGTTTGTCAATGACTGGTTTTGTTCACAGAGAAGAAGGGAGTTTCCCCTCTAATTCTGCTTTCAGTTTCCCAAAACAGGAGCTGGTATCGACAGAAAAACACAAAAACTAGAAAGGTTCCACGTAAACAGGGCCAACAGAGAAAAGAACTGGTTTGAAAAACACAGCAGTTAAACTGGTGGAAAGAAAAAAGTATCAAAACATACCACTTACAGTAAGCATATCTGTTAAAGCTGAAAATACAGTGTTGAAGAAGCTGAAACTGAGTTTAAAACTAAAACAATACAAATAGTAAATAATACAACTCAATATGCATGYGCATAAAATAAATTCAAGTGACAATAAACACATTGTCACACTGTATCCAAACTTAGTAAARACTAGAATTAGACCCATCAAGACTGCTTTAAACCTCCATGGTTTTAGTTTAGTCAAATGGAAAACCAAAATCCAGGTATAAGCCATGATCATTCTGGTTAGAATAAAAAAATGCCCGTAGAAAGGACCGTCACAAGTCTATATAAACATTTTATCCAATGTTTCCCAATGAGACTTTGCCATTTGGCAACAAGGAGTTGCTGTGATTAGTCAACAAACCACAATAACTCCAACGTTGGGCAAGAGTTTACAGCTTTGTGACTTCCTCAGATCATCAGCCAGGCAGACGTATGAAACGAGCCAAAGCTGCTCSAATATATCAGTTCCAATATTTCTTTCTGGAAATATCCTTGAAATTCAGATTAGTGACTCAAGGAAATAACATTGTGATTAAGCTGCCCTCTAGTGGTGGTTATTAGAATGGCACTTGCTTTATTTACCAGGCAGGAGACTGTTTATTTTTTTCCGGTTTTATTAAAGATGGTTAGCAAATCATTAGTGTCAGCAAAAAAACAAAACAAAACAAAACAAAAAAAAAACATTTCTTTTGGGAACAAAACTAAGCTTTTCAGTGCTCGAGACTTTAAGGTTACCCCCACTAACGTACAAAGGTAAACATTACTAAAAGAGGATCTTCCTACACAAGCTGAGGATTTGAACAGGTTTAGATTGGACATCATGAGAGACTGCTTCACGGTGTGTGTGTGTGTGTGTGTGTGTGTGTGTGTGTGTGTGTGTGTGTGTGTGAGACACGTCTCGTCTGAAGTGCCTTCACGGTTACTGCTTGGAGAAGAACTCTTTGCTCTTTGCGACGTCAGGGACGATGGTGTCGCTCCCTGGTTTCCAGCCAGCGGGGCACACTGTGTGAAGAGGAGAGGACAAGGTTCATCCCAGCTGTCATTTAGAAGATAAACTTTGTATAATGTCCAAGAACAAAGTSCGTGTGTGAATGCCAAGAAGAATAAATCAGTAACCAGGACGGGTTTGAAATCAACATTTATACAAGGTTTCAACACGTTTCTTTACGTTAAAATTCTAAAACATTATTGTGATTAATTACTCTCACATTCAAAGTYGTGTTATTTTTCTAAATAAATGTGAAAACCCTCCTAGTTTAAATATTTAGATTTACTTCCTAAAAAGTGAAACAGTTCAAGTCAGAAAAAGATGCTTTTCTTTCAAACTTTAGGACTGAACAGAAACCTACTGAACAGAAACCTGGTTAAAAGGTTTTAACCCAGAGGTTCTTTAGCCAAATATCTTCAGTTTATCAGCTGATTTCTGACCATTTGTAAAGAAAAGCATGTTCTTTTTTTAAGTGTATTAACACTCAAGCATAATATAAAAAAGGTCCTTGGAAAGATTGGGTTATAAATAAATAGTTTTCKGTTGTGCTGATGTTTGGTTTTGCAGCTAAAATGTACAGGCTACTGTTAGTTGAAGGTCATTAAAAATCACCATCACACTTTAGATTCGATTAAAAGCCACAAACATAAACAGTCACTGGTATAATTAAACAAAAAAGTGCACTTAAGCACAAAATCAAAATCAGAACCAGCTAAACTGCTGACTAACAATGATGGTGGATTAGGCAAAGAAACTGCCATTATTTATTACACAACAAGCACGATGAATTTTAAAAACTAGCCCAGTCTAGTGAATTTAAAAACTATTAAAAAGGTTTGTTTTTGTGTGGAACATCTCACCTTCTCCGTGTTTGTCAGTGTGCTGGAAGGCCTGAACCAGACGCAGGGTCTCGTCCACAGAACGACCCACGGGCAGGTCGTTGATTGTGATCTGCCTCAAAATGCCCTTGTCATCGATCACAAACAGACCCCTGAGAGCCCCCAAAATAAGGTTTAAAGATCAGATCCAGTCATTAGACAGTGACCAAACAGCCTTACAGAAGGTTCAGCTGACCTGTAGGCAATGCCTTCATCCTCCTTCAACACGCCGTAGTCTCTGGAGATGGACTTAGAGAGGTCTGCGACCAGGGGGATCTTCATGTTCCCCAGGCCTCCTTGTTTCCTGGGTGTGTTGATCCTGAAGGAAGAAACAAAAGAAATAAAAACATAGAATTACAGTTGAACAGAACCCCATCAATGACCCAAACATGAAACAGGAAAAGATAGAAAACTGAACAAATAATAAAACAGAATGTGAAACTCCTCAGGTTTTCAGAAACCGTTAGCTCCTCACTTATCAACACGTTGCAGAGAGCCGGCGTGACAGGAGATAAACTGGGTTGGGTGTTCTTAAAGCTGCCAGAAACCTTTATCGCTTTCAAACCTTACAATAAACCCATAAAGGGCTTGAAACTCAGCATACACACCTGCTGTGCTTTTATGTAATAGTTTGTTAAAAAATACTGGAGTTAAAACTTCATGAAAACAACATTTAACATTCCACAAATTATTATACCAATCCAATAATCCCACCTGCTGACGGATCAGTTTATAGCACTTGGGACTTATTCTCTTCCCCACCTTCTTTTTGCCAGTAGAAATTCTTACCAAGCCAAATGGCTGAAGTGCGAGTCGATGGAGCAGCCGATGACCTCGCAGCCGATACGGCGAAACTCCTCCGCCCTGTCGCTGAAAGCAATGATCTCAGTCGGGCACACAAAGGTGAAYTCCAAGGGGTAGAAGAAGAAAATTAAATATTTCCCTGAAACATGCAAAACAAAAATCAGTCATGTTTTGTGAAGATGGAAAATTAATCATAAAATGCTTTTTTTTGCAAACACACAATACTATCTTAACCTTTATAGTCTGACAGCTTGATTTCCTTGAACTGCCCGTCAACCACAGCGGTAGCCTTAAACTCTGGGGCGGGTTTGCCGATCTGAGCGTTTCCAGAAGKCATGGTGGACAACTGAGGGAGAGAAAGCACATATTTGGTTAAAACACCCGCAATGACTGTTCAAAACCACTACGGACAAGTCCAGATGGGTGGAACACTTTAATATTAGAGCTAAAGGAAAGAAATGTGCAAGTTGAAACAGCAAAGCCTAAATAAACTTGACAGACAAGTCTTTGTAGAGCTAATTGCTCAAAGACTTGTTCACCCTTCACTGGTCACATGCAAGTCATGTTCAACCAGCAGAGAACAATGGCACAACTATAAARAACAAACCCTTCAGAGGTTATCTAAGAATAATGCACCTTTTTAATAAAAATGAACGTTCAACTAAAACGATAAGACTTTAGATTTAACATGCAGTTACAAGAAAGTCTATATTATTCTTATCTAAGTACTTTTTAATGGGATGCACTGCAGAGTGCTTCAATAAATCTGTAGAATTGTATGCCAATGTATGACATAATATATGGCAAAAGAGGCCAACAACCTGCAAGCTCTGGTTTGGTTTTCATTCAATGTCATTTAGCTGGTCAAAGTTCAAAAGCATTTTGAGTAGATTTGCATTAAAATTAATGCCATGATATGTTTGTCTTCAAAAAATGCGTGAAAGGGAACAAACCAGAAGCCAACAGACCAGAGTTAACAGGAAGCTGCTGCACAAGAACAAAGAGCCAAAAACACTTGAAGGCTAACAGAACAGAGACGTGCTAACTTTGTTAGCTTAGTCAAACAAACTGGTTTCTCGTTTATTTTGCCTTAAAATACACTCTCTGGTCGAGCTGTGCAAACATTCAGCAAACACCGAAATTAATAATAAAACATTCAACTTTTACAGTCCTCTTTTTGTCTACTAACCTGTTACGTAAAGCCTCAAAGAAATTGGAAGCGGAGGTCTGCMACTTGCAGGAAGAAAAGGAGTCGGGACCAGGAGGAAGGTTCAAGRGCAAGAAGTACCCTCAGACAACTGCGGCCCCGGAAGTACAAAATTAACACTTCACACTAGTTCATTTGCAGAACCTCTATAAATCTTTTACTTAATAAATACTGTACATAATATGACCATGCATGAAAAATTTTCGTGCATTTTAATATATAATTTWATGGGATTACAGTCCAGTTCCTAAAAATGTATATTCGTCACTTTAAGTGTTTTATCCTCGGCTTTTATTTTGACAAACAGCAACTCCAGCAGAAACACCCCTACGCTACTTCTGCTTAGCAGAGTGGGAGTCTCTGCATCGCAGAAGCAGGCGTTTTAAGACTTCTTTGGTAAAAAAAAAAAAATCCTTTACTGTTGAATACAGGTTTTTACTTAGATTTTCCTTAAAGGTTAAAATTGCGTATATTGTAGTTTCGTTYAATTGCGACGCACCAAGAGTATCACGCGGCTAATTGTAGCAGAAGTCGAGTAAAAACAAAAGGTTCAGGGGTAGCCAAGTTAGATTTAACTTACGAAACACATATTTATTTAACACTGCTATATAATTTATTGTAATTAGACAGCGTGTGATCAGCAGAATTAGACTGAATAATGTTTAAGGGCGATAATAGTTCAAATCAAACAGCCAGAAAGATTTTTTTTCAACGAGCTGGTGTTATCGCGAGATTTCGGTTGTCTCGCGTTTTGTGTTAGATTGACTTCCTGAAACTTGGTGTTTCAGTCAAATTTTTACTAGCTGTAATAGGTTTTATAAACATTGTATTCATTTTAATGTTGGTAATACATTATTACGTGGTACTTACTCATTTATTTGCCCGCAGATTTTGCAGGAAGACAACTTTTCATCAAAATAATCACCAGAACAGGGATATTTCTCACTGTACATGGACTCACAAGGTTGGTAAGACACTTGGAACATGAWCTACTAATCACAGCTAATGTACATTTGCAGCTGATTAAATTTTGATGACAACCCCATTCAAGATGGCCACCACAGCCAAGCAACATCCGCAAACATAAAAATGGATACAAGACAGACAAGTTTTCTGATARTGAGCTAAAATTTMGTGTAATTGTTTTAGTCTTAAATGCTGGCATGAAAGGTGGTGGTCGGTATGCATTCCTTCAAGGAATCAGTCTTAATTTCAGTCATTAGAAAATAAGCTATATCTTTATTTGTTTTTATTTATTCATTTTTTGTTTGTTTATTTTTTTTTTTTGACTCTGATTTAAGTTTTCTCTTTCAGTCTCTTAACAATCTTCAGTATGAACTCATCCGCAGCAAACCCCGAGCCCATCATTTGTGAGGTCTGTGGAGCGTACTTTGAGAACAAAAGAGGCCTCTCCAGCCATGCTCGCCTCCATCTCCGCCAGCTCGGCATGACGGTGACAGAGAACAGCGGGTCTCCCATAGAGCTGCTCTACCAGCTGATTGAAGAGAAAAACGTCTCTCCTGCGGATTCAAAAACAGGCCACTCTGCGTCTGTGTCGACACCTCCTAAGAAAGCTGACGGCCAGTCAGAGTGCAACGCGTCACCGGAGCCGGAAGACGTGAATTCTTCCACCAAGACTGATGGGAGAGTCTTATCAAAGCTGCAAAAGAGCGATCATCAGGGATCTCCATCCAAACTGAAGGAACAGGGAGCAGCTCTTCTCCCCTCATCTCCTTCTGCTCTGAAGCCAAATGAAGGCAGCAGCTCCTCATTTTCAGATCAGCAAGCCAAGCCGATGTGGGCGCCTTCGGACACTGATGCCCCGATCACTTTAGGTACGTGTAACCAAGGGAAAAACTCAATTATACAATGCTAATTCTGACAAAGTTTGAGTTTTGTGTAAAATGTAAAAGAACTCCAGACTGCACTGATTTTTAAATCTCACAAACATTTTATTTACATTTTATCAAACGTTTAATTTTATCATAATGCATTTTTTGGAATTGAGGTTGTTTAGTGGAGAAGAAGTAGGTAAAGAAACGACAATGCATGTTTGATTTTGTCTTTTTTAATCACAGCTTCAGTTCCCAACGATGAGGTCCACGTTTGCCAACTTTGTGGCTCCTGGTACGAGACCCGCAAGGGCCTGGCTAGTCACGCTCGGGCCCACCTCCGGCAGATTGGAATCCTCGACAGCGAGATCAAAAGCAGCCCGATTGAATACCTTTACCAGATCATGGAGGAGCAGGACTTAAAGCCCATCAGCGCCAAGCGGCAGGAAGAGCTCAAACCYACCGGTCCTTCTAAATCCACCAAACGTCCCGTCGATGTTTCCTCGTCTCTTGCGTCTGCGCCCAGCAAACGGTCGAAAACATCCAAGGACTTTACCTGTGTTCTGTGCGGGGAGGAATTTGAGAACCGGAAAGGTCTGGGCAGCCACGCGCGCTCTCACCTGCGTCACATCGGAGTGAGTGACTTGGTGGGGAAAAGCTCTGCCATAGGTGCCGTGGAGGAGCTGGTCAGCAGCGGCATGTTGGGGCCCATACATCCACCCAAACCAAACYGTGCAACCGGTTCCTCCGCGGCGCCATCTCCAGCTCCACCTTCTCCCGTAGTAGTCCCCGCGAAGCCGTCCAAGACTGTGTTCTCTGCCATGCGCCTCTCACCAAGTCCTACGAGTGCTCAGTCCCCTCAGCCTGCATGGAACAGGGCACCGAAGGCTAAGAAAGGATTTCGGCTGGCGGTGGACCCCCTGCTCAGGAAACCAAAGCCTGAACRGATAGAAACAGAGGTTTTTGTTCAACCAAAGCCAACCACCAGRGACAGCAGCTCTTCTATGCAGAAACTTTCTACGGCTACCATTTCTAAAAAGCCTTCTGACTCAGGTAAATTGTCCTCTAAAGGTTTTATTTTATTCGTTTGTTTGTGGATGTAGTTTGAATGCATGCTCTGTACCACAGATGCCCAGTCTCCACCGACGGTCCTCTGTGACTTTTGTGGGCAGCTCTTCGATACCCGGAAAGCGCTGTCGTGCCATGTTCGCGCCCACCTGCGGCATCTCGGTCTGTCATGGTCGATCAGAACGTCTCCGATCGACCTCCTCAGAGAGGTCATGATGCAGGGAGAAGACAGGAAAGAGGTGCGCAGCGGGTCTTCGCTAGCGGGCAAAGCCTCGTGGAGGCCTCAAGGCTCCAGGAGATCCCGGGACAGCCTCCTGTCTGGGGAAAGAGCTTCCAACTCCAGCGCAGTGCCTGTTGATTATTCAATGAAAGATAAATCTCCATCTAAGACTAGAGGTGCGAACCTTGGTAAGTTAAGCTTTTAACATTGAAAATGTCAAAGRCTGACTAACACAGGTTCATCGTGCAGGTGTTATTTTGAAATGCCATATTTAAGTATGCCTTACATTTAGACAAAGTGGTAAATTCATGACTCCTCTGTTCCTGGTCCAATCAGAGACTTCCTGTGACCTCTGTGGATTTGACTTTGAAAACCGCAAAGCGTTGGCGAGTCACGCTCGGGCCCACCTCCGGCAGCTGGGCATCTTTGAGTGGAGGCTGGACGGAGCCAGGTCACCGATCCAGCTCCTCAGTAATCTGATCCGGAGAGACCCGAACAAGGTGGCAGAAATAACCAGACGCTATCGCTTCGGGGACCTTTACATCAAGAAGGTGATTGRTCGATTCCGCTTCGGATAATCCGGATTAATATTTGAAGTGCATTTCTGTTTACGCTGTTTTTCTCTTTCAGTCTCAGCGATCAGCTGCTTTGGCCTCTGCCTCGACAGATCTMGACGGCGCGCCTAGAAGCAGCCAGAAGTCATCCCTGCAGCATCATGAGCGCAAAGTGAGCAGAATGGACCACAGCAGCATCAGCGCGCGCACATCAAGAGGTGAGGAATGTAAACAAAAGAAATAAAAAAATAAAAACAGAAAAAAACTAAACAAAGTAGCTTATTCTTATTCATCTTGATGTCAGGAGTCCATGCACCAAAACACGGGGTGTCCTCAGGGGAAGAGCACTCCCGGCATCRACCTCGGTCCGGGAGCATCCCAGCACTGCTGCCAAAGCCACCTCTCACCCCTCTGGTCAAACTGGTGGGTAAAGAGTACTCCCTCAAGTGCAGGTGAGTCCGTTCTCCTGGTTTAGATCTAACGTTAGCTACYAGACAGTTATAGTTAATCACCAGGTGCTACAAATTTTAAATTCTAGTCTAAAGTCTCTTTCACAGGATAGTTCAACCTGACTTCAGTCCTRCTCGGGTCATTCATAAATCACAGGTGCAGCCGTCCAGTCCCTGCTCACATGTACATGTTCAGAACTGAACCAGCAGCGTGGAACCAAAAGAGGCGTGGAGCAGAACTCAGCTGGGCTGAAGTGAACCGCGACGTGTTTCTTATGTGACAGACGTCTGACTCGRATCAAACAAAGCAAACTACATTAACTCGTTTTAGTGATCCTGTGGTTCAATATTTTTAGAATTTACTACAAAGTTGTTGCTTCGCGTCATCTTTAATATTCCCTCGGTACTAAATKTGTTTGTTGATTAATCCTTGGGTTGTTAACTGATGTCATCAGCTCATTATCATTTTCRGAGCCYCGGAGCGGCGGGTTGTTTTTTTTACGAATCGGTCTGCCCAGCTCGGGCAGAGGCGGGCTCACTTTACTCGCGTTAGCGCCTTCGTGTTTTTTCTGACTGATCTAAGGAAGAGGAAAGTCTGTCACGAAAGGTGAAGGGCGATAAGTGTTCCTCATGTTTTAACTTGAAAAATGCATTTTAAAAAGTTGAAGTTTTATTTCTGACGTCGCAGGATTGATGTTCAGTTTCCTCCTGTTTGTTCAGGTTCTGTGAAGAAGTGTTTCACGGACCTCTATCTGTTCAAGAGAAGTGGATCGCTCACCTGCAGAAACACATCCTGTCTCTGGGCTACAAAGGCAAAGAGGCTCCACCTTCTCCTCCTGCCACTCCTGCGCCTCCCGTTCCTTCAGCTGCTCCTGCTGCCTCAGCTCTGGTCCCTCCTGTAGCTGTTTAGTTTAAWAATCTCTCTCTGATATGAGTAAAAAAAAGATGTTCCCTGTTGGACCTGTAGAGGGCAGACACGAGCTATAAAGAAGGAGATACTCACTTTAATCCACTCAGGAAAAATAATCTACCCGTTTCCCCAAAAATAACAAATACCCCTATTTTTACAAACAAAACCTCTTTCTCGTGCATTTATATGTTTCATTTCATGTTAGTTGTTATTTCCTAACAATGAAAAATCTAGTTTTTAATGTTCCTCACTGTTTTAAGTTTGTTTGACCCTCAGAAATCTTGTCTTTTAAATGTTTTAAAGTCTGAAATTCATTTTCTGCAAACACATTTATATCCCAGCATGCCGTTTGTTTATGTATCCTTATATGTAATTGAACATTTCATGTGTGGATTTAATGGCTGATGACAGATAAGGATGCTTTATTTTGATAACAGAACCAACCATGAGGTCACTTTATCTGGTTCCTCTTGTTATATCGATTAAATATATGAAGCCTGTGTCAGTTGATTGGTTGCAGGGTTTGTGGGCCCAGATCTGCACGAATCACGAACCCCCGAAGTTAAATTTTATCCCTACTTTGTTTTGAATGAGACCACAACTTCTGTCGATGCTCTGTACTGTTGAACTTGTAATGTTTTTTGTCTTATTTAACTAAAAACAATCTCTTGTTTAATTCTCAAGTCCATATTTCACAAAATCCACTGCAAGCCCTTTAAATTTATAAATGGCCAATTAATGCCTTATAAATGTTTAAAAACACAACCTAATTATAAAGCATTAGTACGTTTAAACTTGATCTGTTTTAAACTATAATGTAAATATGTAAAATGTGAATTTATAAATTTACATGTTTTTAAGTGACATTCAGGTGAAGAGAAAAATAACACGTTATGTTTAAACTTAGTTTTGCCTTGTCACAAATTTTTCCATCATATTTTCTTTGTGTTGAGTTGATGTATCGAAATGTTAGAAGATGCTGTAAAAGGTTATCAGTTGTAACAGCTGCCATATTTTCTGTTTTTCTCCCTTTTGGATTTAATTTCACGTCTCTTTCTGCTTCCATCACTGAGTTTACCAGCGGTGCTATGGATCTTCTGCTTCGGGCCATTATATAAAAGTCTGCATTTTTCTGTCTGAACGTCCTCAGAACAGAGGAAAACTGCAATAAACATAAATATTCAAACTCCCAGCTGACTGTTTCTGTGAAAAACCCACTAGTGGGTCAGACTGGACTCTGTCATGATCTTGTTCAGGAGTAAAGTGTTTGGGAATTGAAGCAAGCAGAGTTAATTTTAATTTTTCATGAGTTATAAGACTTTTGTTTGTTAAGATCTTTTTTTTTCTGCTGGATTTCTTCATGCTAATAATCTCCAGGGTCTCTGATCATTGATGGATGGTTCTGGTGTTCCAGCTCAAAAACCCTCCCTACCAGACAGAACCAAACCCAGCAGCRGATTGCTTAAAGTCAGACACCTGGGACCAGAAGCTGTAATTACAAAACACTTTGTGAACCCAGATCCCAAATTAGAAGCTCGTGTGTCTTTCAGAGCCGTGGGTTTTGAAGGATTTGGTGGGAGGACTGTGGCTTTAATGGATTTATTATGACTTCTGTTTCCTTCACAATAAGAGCATGACAGTTTTACCAAAATAACTTTACCCGGCAAGGGAAAAAAATGAGCTGGTGATAATGTGATTTTAAAGAGTCAAAGAGGAAAAGACCTTATAATGTAACAACATGATGACAAAATTTCAGAGTTGGTTTCTGGTTCTTCTTTTACATGCTACATTTTAATTTTATCTGGATATTTTTGGGCTACATGTGATTTACAAAGTTTGTCCAGTTTATTAACATTAAAATTTTAATGTTAA